TTCTTCTTCTTCTTTTTCTTCTTCTTCTTCTCCTCCTCCTCCTCCCACTCCTTCTCCTCCTCCTCCTCCTCCTCCTCCTCCTACTGCTCCTCCTACTCCTCCTCTTACTCCTCCTCCTCTCCTCCTCCTCCTCCTCCTCCTCCTACGCCTCCTCTTACTCCTCGTCCTACTCCTCCTATTACTCCTCATCCTACTCCTCATCCTACTCCTCCTACTCCTACTACTCCTCTGTGAGAAATACATGTAAGTACGGGTAACCTCAAACCTAAGCATTCCTGAAGACGTAGGCCTATTATATGTACTCTAACAGTGTCAGCAGAGTTCATAGACAAATATATTATTTAATTTTGAGTTCATGCATATATCCTCTTCTCTGCCACCATTTGTCGAACACCCTTTCAAAGCACCAATGTTGTGTTGGGGTAAAGAATAACCTACCCATTATCCTGTACATTTTCTAGATATCTTGAAAGCATCTGTACAATGTGACGTGATATTGTATTTCGAAAACGTAACTTTGAACATGAAGCAAATTATGAGTTTAAAACACTCAGTGTGTGACCCTGAAAGTGCGGAGCGTGACTTTGGGGGAAGAGAGTGTGTTCGTGATCGTGCTCAATCAGAGTGGCTGTCAAACCACCTGGTCTATGGTCCTGAACGTAGTGCGTATACGGGGGGGTTATAATCACCATAGTAGAGTCTATGTCGTTTTGTTATACATCTGACAAAAAACAATTATCGTTTGATAAGACACCTACATTAGTCAGATATATGGCTTTTTTCCAGTACCACATTATAATTAACAAGCAGAGGAACTCTTGCAGATTTTGTGATTTGGCAATGTGCGTTGATCGATGGGCAATAAGTCGTCACCACGCAGACATTCTAGAATTTTATGTTTTAAATCGTTAGCTAGGAGAAAAAAGCACACCTTATTGTAGAATAAAGAGCTTTGAGTCAAAGACGACAGCATATTTTGATGTTTATTTTACGGAAGTGTTTCAAGAAAACAGCTTCCACTTCTTCATTAAGGTCGCTCATATGGGTGGTTTGCTCGAAACGTTGGTTGTTCTATCGGTAGGCTGTATGGGAAAGAGGATGACAACGGGACAAAGATTAACAAACTGGGAGGTAAAGAGGGAACAAGACAGGAAGGTAGAGAAAGAGAAAGGGGGATAGGGCATGTGAAAGAGAAACTAAGCGAGAGATAAAAGTTGGGGGAGATAGCAGGAAAAAGGGAGAGAGAGTGTGCATCATAAGAGTTTGTGTATATAAAATTATGCATGTGTGAGAGAGATAAAAAGAGAGAAAAGGGGGAGGGGAGAACGTGAGAGAGAAGGGGGGAGGTGGAGGAGGAGGAGGAGGGTTGGCAAGCTATCTACAGTCTTGTCTACCTGTGCCTTAGATGGCTCTTGTTCGGCTGCGGTGTTTTCGGCCTCCATCGTATGTTCTTCGGTGTCTGCCATGATTCACACTGGCCTTCCCAGGATCCTTCGTACTAGATCTCCACTCCGTCACGGCGCCTTGTTGGTAATCAGGCGTCAATGAATTATATAGTCCTCTTTCATTGTAATTAAAATGTGTCCTCGTAGATCCGAAGCTGAAGATGAAGTGTCCACAATACTTGGTTGAACAAAGTTATTGCGTGAGTTGACTAATTTTGAAATTGTCTCTTCATAATGATACCAAAACAACTATTTCTGTCTTCTCTTCTGTTCTTGCACCTCCTAAGAGCTGGATGCTGCCTGTAATATTCAAGGGCGTTTGGAAATAAGTTTTGTTTACCCCGGATTTGCAATGGAATCAATTCCCTGACTACATTAGATACGGAGAAATTTAGATCTAGTTCTGGACAAGTTTAAAGGCACAGATTTGGGGAGGGGAAAAGGAGGGGGGGTGCACGTTCAAAGTATCATGATTTAATCAAAACATGTATACTTCACACTGAGTGCTTCATCAAAATAACCGGTGGGTTTGCGGGGGGGGGTCTGAAAGAAAGGTGGCAAGGTATTCGAAGGCTGAGAACATTACCTTTCAGTTGGGAGAATATTTTTTGGGCCATGACCACAAATTGCCGAGGTAAGGAAAAGAGTCGTGCTGTCTGGACTAGATATTAAATGTGCTAAAGAATCCCAAACAAATCAACTCTTAAGTTTGCTAATGAGTAATAAAAGGGTTTGGGGGAAGAGGAAAAGAAATTATTCACCCCAAATCTCCAACCGACACACCTACACTCCCCCCCCC